GAGAAGAGGCAGAAAATATGAGGGAAGACGGTAGCAATAAACTGACTATCTTCTTTCCACAACTGGGAGATAAAATGCTCAAACACAGCCCAAAAACCACATTTCAACAAGTGACTAATTTTGAAAGACTGACACAGCCGTGTAATATTTGAATCACTGTCACCTAAAGAAAAAGCTCACCACATACTATGGCATAATATAAATGTCTGCACATATTCTATTCAGAGAACTATTAGCTAAGAGACAGAGAGAGAGAGAGAGAGAGAGAGAGAGACCTTTTGTTGTTTATAATCTAATACAATACGCTTTTCCACCATCCCAATTACATCATTGACATCAATCTACAAAATAAAAGGAGAGAGGAAAATATCAATTGGAGGATCAATAACGGACATTAAGCAAGCACCAAAATTAACAGATATTTTACAGTGGCAACCAGTTCTAGCATTGCTAAAGTCTTAGGTCATATATCAAGCAAGCACCAAAATTAACAGATATTTTACAGTGGCAGCCAGTTCTAGCATTGCTAAAGGTCATATATCAATCCAGAAGAATACTCTCCAAAGAGAATGTTTACACCCTGTGAGAGTAAAATGAAATAAATTGAGTTGAAAGATCAATAATACACCAACATAGTGGTAAAAATATGCACATTGCATTTGATTGAAAATGTAATTCTTTATTATTCACGTATTCATTTTTATTTTGGTAGTAAAGTAAACCATTATTCAGTTTATGAACAGAGAATAAAAGATCAGTTCTCAGTCTCTATCATCTATCTGCCAAAATAGAGAGGTCCTGCCAGGGGTAATCAGCAAAGAAAATAGCAAAAGCGTCGCAGCTGAGCATTCTCCATGAAATTTGAGAAAGGTTTGAAACTTCACAATTCAAAGACGATTTTAGACTGAAAACGATTCCTCCCCGTCCTAATCCAATGAAAATCCAATGAAATTACACAGACACAGAGATAAACACAGATTGCAGAGAAAGAGGTTGGTATGACAATTTCTATAGTTTTAAGTAATCTGGGTTTTCAATGTGAGCAGTCAGGGGAAGTTGTGAAAGAAGATTTCATTTTGTTATCATATATTATAACAAAAATATCGATATTAAGATCTCCATGGAAAAGGAAAAGTAGCAATCGCTCTCCTTAATGTCCATAGGTTTATTCTCTTTTCTGCAATCCAGGATTACTTTACGCTCTCGCCCACTCTTCTAGTGGTACTTGCACCCCTCCGAAGAAAAACACACGCAAGATGACAAAAGCAGACACTAATGAAATGCCGAGCACATGGAAGATAAGATCACTCACATTAATTTTGGATCCCTACACAAGACCTAACTCTCACCTCAGACAAAAGAAATTTGCAGAACATTAAATATCATGATAAGAACACAATGAATCAGCAGACTCTGCTTTTTCTGGTTTCAATAATCTCCTCACTAAGTTCACAACCACAGAGCTTCCCTTTGTCGAGCATTTGCAGCTTAATCAATGCAGAAATCCATAGATTTACTTCATGTATTATGAATGAACGTAATACTGATGCTGAATCCGTAGTTTTCGTGCATGCATCTTATTAGTTTGAGCTCAAAAGACAAACTTGATTCACTTTTTAACTAATAAACCAAGCACAATAAGAAATCAATTTCTTTGCGTGTTAATACATAGAGTGGAGATAGTGGAAACTGTTTATTTCATTATAAATTTTTTGGTGTTATCATATGATCACTATTCAAAATCAAAGATAGAATACATCTGATTTATTAACAAATGCCTGTCATTGTAACAAAATTCAACACAAACCCCTGGAAAAGAAAGTACTTTGGCACATAGAAAAGAGATATGCCTTCTATAGAAATACAGATTTCGTTGTCCTTCAGGACAGTGTGTCCACAACAGATAAATGCCCGCATATTATGAACTAACAGTAATCTTGTGTCAGTCAATCTCGTCAATGTGTATCAAAGAAAAAGAGGAGTATTGTGACAATGGTAAAGTATAAACCATGATGTTAACATTCCAAAAACTTTTCGTAAATTAGGAGTTAGTTCATACAACTTCGCAAGTTCTTGTGCCAATAAAACTTCAGCAATCTGGAAAAACGAAAAATGCCCCTCTGGGGTTTGGATTCAACACAACCTGAATTACTAGAAGAGAAAAAAACAATTTTGCTCAAAGTAAAATTATCCACGGGGATCTCTAGTTCTACCTGTGCAAACAATCTGGCAACCAATGCAATTTGTGTTTCCTTAAAATCCTCCTTTTGGAAATTCTGGTACAAAGCGAATATCCGTTCAAGTGCCCCTTTCCTCAAACTTCTTTGATCGTCTACAGTGAGATCAATGTACTGCGGAAGCACTGGCAACTCTACTGATAAACCCTCAGTTGTTTCAGTATTAGAAATATCTGGCGAAAGTTGGTCCCCCTCTTGAGATGATGAGGAATATACTTCGTCAAGCACCGCAATATCGACTGATGCAGGCGCAACTATGTCCTCAACTATGTTTACAGGCAATGGTGAAAAATGCATAGTATTATTTGTTTCCCTTTCTGAAGCTAGAACGTCATCAGCTTCCACATTCGAGAGTTCATGTATTTGACCTGAAAGTTCGACTTCCGGTACAGGCGATACTGATGGAACTATTTCAGTCTGTGTTGCAGGCACCGAAAGCTGAGAAGCACTTTCAGAGATAGACTGCAGTGGTGGTAATACCGATGGAAGGGTAGGGCTGGAAGATTTGAAGTTGGATTGTAAAGCTACATTTTGGACAGAAATAACACTATCTTCCACAGTAGATGTCGGTGGTGGCACATCAACAGGGACTGCCACGCGCCTAGGATCAAGTCGACGAGGATCCTGGAGCATTTATCAATGTTAAAGGGAGGGAAGGCAAGAGAGATTCAGACAAACTCAACATGGTGACAATTAAAAAGTAAATACCAAAACAAAATTACCCGGTAGGTTTTAGCTCCATTTACATGGAATTTACCGAATACATGAAATATCATACATTTACAACGTCAAGTTTTCAAAAATCACAAAACCAATGGCCCTGTGAAATTCAGAAAAAGAGCAGAGTATATCTATAAAGCAAGACAGAAGGTTGGGGTTATTTGTAGTATCTAGAAAACCCGAGAGTGTAACAGTAAGTATTTTAATCGCATCCAGAATCGATAAGATCCACTAGCAGCTGGTGAAAACTGTAATTTGATAGTAGCATCAATCGTGGTTTTCAGTTTTTCATAATTTCAAAGAGCCGGGTTTTTTTTCTTAAAAACAATTGGCCTAACACCTCAATGGTGGCTGTTATCATTTTCAAAGTTAGCTGGGTTTTTTGAAATTTAGCCAAAAACTTCAATTGGTGGCCTTGAAACTTATCCAGAGAATAAATGTCTTATATGATGTCACCAACTGGTTAGCTTACCCTTCGTGGATCACGTTTGGAGTCCATAGAGGGAGTAATGGAAGTGGACATGTCAGGAAACGGCAAACCAGCAATGTTCGACGAGGATGCAGGTACTTGAGCTGAAAGGTCCACTGTCTCTGCAGAAGTTGCAAAACCATTTGAAGCCCCCACCTGGACTGGATCATTAGAAGAATCACTACGATGATTAACAGATGTGTTACTGTATTTCGTGAAAGGAAGTGGGTCCTTAGGCAGGTGCTTCATATTCGTTATAACAATATCAGCAAGTAAATCCGCATGTATATTGGATATCAGAATTTCAAGAGACTCCACTCCTCTTTCTCCTTCGGCTATTAAAGCACCAATCATAGCAATCATCTGCTCGACAGGACTAAGGTCTTCAGGGAGCTTAGGAGATATGCCATTTACATGACCAGCACCATTGTTATCACCAATGGTGGTTGTATTGTTGAGAGGACCTGCACGATATCTCTTGGAAGTTGAGTCAAAGCTATTGACTTGATCATCATTGTCTGATGGGGCCAACCTTTTCTTTGTTATGTCCCCTGAAATATGCAACTGACTGGACAGCTGCTCTTCCTGAAGAAAAATAGCCAAATTTCACAATCATGAACTACATCTCAAATACAATAAATGGAACCAGCTGCAAAATTTCCTTCATTCCACCAAAAAGAAAGCAATTACCCTATTAAATTGAAGATCCCGAGAAACACGGTCGTTTATTCTGATCATCTTATCTCTTTGTCGAATAACTTGATCAGCAGCATCTCCGGCATTCATTGCACGCAGTTCCTTGATCAATCTCTCTCTCGACTGGGGGAAAAATGAATTCACTCAAAATAAGAGTCTGTAAGACGATATTAAAGATTTATTTTCACATGAAGATAAATTTCATAGATCTGTTTTTATCTAAGTGAACTCAAAATGAATTGACTCAAAAATAAGAGTCTGAGAGTCTGTGAAGGAAAGATTTGCAAGTAATGAAAATTATCTGGCTAAAAACCCAATAAAATAGGTTGCCTTGCACACCATACAGTAAACTGTTAAATTCAGAATTTGAAACAGCCAAGCAGAACGAGCTTTTGCTCGCAAATTAGTGTTGTTGACTCCCCCTATAAGAATAGCCAGATATATGGGTATCTTTTGGGGGAATATCACACAGCAGAACACAAATTGGCGGAAACTATCATGCAGATTACTTCACAAATATAGCTTTACCTCTGCAATGATGGGATGAGTACACCTCAGAAATCCTAACAAAGCACTTCTCAAGGAATACTGTATGCTGACAGTATGGCGACCCTTTGCCGTCTCCAAATTTGGACCGAAATCAAGCAGTACAGTAAGGACAGATTTATAATAGACAGGTCTCTTCCTCGCAATAGCTGCAAGACTGGAAAGAAGGAGGTTAGAGTATGCATGAAGGGCAGATATTGGTATCTTATACAAGGTTACAATGTTTTACCAACCCAATCAAATTGCAAGGAAGCGGTTGCTTTTTATNGACAACAATACTAAGCAACATAAATGACTGGTCAGGCAAAGTAAATCTGCAAGCAAAGGCCACAAAAGGGGCATGAATCAAAAGAAAATGAGTAAAAAAGCATAAACCAACATCCAAACAGGCAGTAATAACAGGGATGATACATCATGTGTTCTTATAAAAACAGATATTAGTGTATTGCAAAGAATCCACTCTCAACAGCAAGGCATTAAAAGAAAACAATCTGCTCCTTTTTATATACTTCAGAAGCAATTTCCCTATATACATCTCCAGTGATACCAAAAGCTACTCTATCTGGTGCATCTTAAAACCAACTCTTTTACTTCCTCACAATTTAAAGCACCAATTTGGAATACAGTAACCGGTCTCAGCTTCATAATTTTGAATATCATCTCTTCACAAACAAAAACACAAATAGAATCAATCAAGTTGCATGTCCAGTCCTACAGTAAAAGGCAAACATCAAAAGCGAAAATTCTGCCACAGTAGAGAAGACTAGAAATCAGACTGAGAGTAGAAAGACCAGTAGACAACATAAGACAACTAACAAAATAGGTTCTTTTACGGCCAGGACTGCACATCTAAAGAGAATCATTCAAATTTCTAAGCTAAAAATAGAGAAATGGTGAGATCAAATATCTGGTTATTCAGCTGCGAGGGAGACAGAAACAGCATCGGTGACAAAAGAAACACAGATGCGCAACAAACATCGACATGGCCAGATAATTAGGTCAGTATATTCTTGTTCAGGTAATTATTATTAAGAGATAGATAAAAACATAAATTGGAATACTTCTCATAATCTCATTCCCATAAGCTCTCAGCAAACTGTTAGATTCAGTCTTGGATTTACTTCAATTTAGATTCCATGGGATACTGCAGAAATATTCTTTATACAATACCCTTATGAAAGATTAAAGTTAGACAAAATTTAACTGAATTGGGATACAGAAGAAAGAAATATTACTTTAGTTTCCCATTTGAGAAAGAAACCAAATAAAAGAACAAATAATGTTTTGCCTAGAAATGCACTAAAAATCAAAACATACAGGTGTCGTATATAACCAAATAAGAAGACAGTGTGCAGTTTAATTTCTCCATTTAGTTACTTAGGAAATCATATTAGTGAAGTAAACAGCCACACTTAGAACAAGATATCTAATAGGAGCTCACAGTCTTCCCCCAACTCAGTGACTCACAAGAAAAAAGTTCATATGGCACTTGACATAGATAACTAAAGTTCAACATAAATAGAAAGAAGTACATCAAAATTGTAAGATGTACCAAAGTCGCAATAAATCAAGGATAAAACACGTTTATTGGCTTGTTACACCAACCACAGTTGAGAAAAAAATACGAATGTGCTTATGCTTATACAAAAATTCCAATTTATGAAATCAAACCAAGCCAATTCGGTGATTGCATCAAACAAAATCCAACAAAACACTAAAGCATATCTAGGCCAATTAATAAGATATTCTATGAAGCTCATAGAGTATTCAAACATGTTTAGACCTATGAAACTGCAGTAAAACCAAGCCCCAGCTCTTGTAGTTCAAGATTTACAATTTAGAGAAGTCCAACAAACAATAGCAAATTCATTCAAGCAAAGTTTTAAAATTAACTTTTATTAGGAATATCAGTAGGGATTGTTACAAAAACTAGCCCAGATTTGGCCTATCTTATCTTACAAAGATTA